TACTCACTATACTTCTCCATGCCTTTCTGCAAACTATTCCTCTTCCCATCGTGTTCATTTGCCACATTATATATCACCTTTTATTCTTTAAGCCTTTAAACTGCTCACCTCTCCATTTTTCAGGATTTCACCCATCTAACTTCATTCTCAGTCGTTCCCTTCTTTTCAATTCATTCACAGTGCATTCCTATATTTGTTTTCATATTCAGTTTTCTTTCATTCACTATATACAAGCAAAACATCCCAACGTACTTTCCCCTACCAGTCATTCTTTTTGTATTCAGTCCACAAGTCTTGACCCTATCGCTTTTTGTTTACCATACACACTTCTTAAATTCCCCTTCCCTTCAGTTCTAATATAAAAGCACTCTTTCCCGTTTTCCCTGACATACCCAAAACTCATTTACATGTAACAAATTGGGCAAAAGCACTCTTTTACAGCCCTTTTCACCCCTTCGACAAACATTCATTACTCACAACAAACTACACATGACCTCCGTACTGTTGCAACAGCATTTACCCGTATTGAATTTTTCCCCATCCATTTCTTCCATCTTTAGTAAACACAACACCAAGATTCAATTTGTCTACTTGCTCTAATTTTTACCATTTATGTTTAACACGTACAGTAATTGTTCACTCCTTTTCCTTGCCAAACACAACTGCAGTGTTCTTTGATACATTAATTTTCAGATCTAATATTCACCACAAATTATTCTGGTTCTCAGTCAACAGAAAAGCATCATTTTGATTAAAAAAAATACATATGCAGTAGTTCCCAACCAATAATTCACTAATATAACTATAAACATACATTGAACTTTGCATTTAGATGTATATTAATTCCTTTGCCACATGCATGGATTAAATATATTAATACTTAATAATTATAAATAATTCATTATATTAATAAGTTCCAACTAAAAAAGGACTCAAGATGGCATGCAAAATTATAAAATATTATAAGAACATAAAAGCAAACAGAGTTTGGGAGGGGGATAAACAAAAAAATCAACCATTAATTATCATTAATTATCATCAAAATAGATTTCATTGTACATTTCATTCATAATCAAAACTTCACTATCATTAATATTTCCTACAGATATTAACCAACTCCATTCCATTAAATTAGACAATCTTCATTCGAGTCTGTTCTACTCTTCCTGTTTCCCCTCATTTTAGATACATTTGAACACATATCTATTTTTCTTTCATTTCATTTATAAACATATACTTTTTATCATTTATGCCCCTTATAAACCAAATCTCAATATTCTACACACTGTGATCACTTCCAGATGGGCTCATAGATGTTGACCTGTGCTACTGATCATCGCTCTGGTTAAGCAAGACTTTCACATAATATTTTAGTAAGGTGGAGAAAGGGCAGACTAAGTTATTAGCTCTAACTATACCTACCAAATAACACATGCGATATTTCCTGTTAATAGTATGAACAGTACAGGTCAGTTTTGTACATTCTGGCCAACATGCAGTTTTACTCCAAATGTATTCATGCAAGCTACAGTCTCTAAACTAGAGAGTATTTTATAAGCAAACATAGTGTTGCCCAAATCCAAACCAACTTAGAAGTATATTCAATATATTAACAGACTCAGATGATATGGAATCATCTTCTAAGATGATGAATCACCTAAAAGATGTTTTTTCACACTATGTTTCATGGGAGCCTAGCGTGTTTCATGAAACACAGTTCCATGTCTGAGGGGGGGGCGAATATCATTTGAAGACAGCCAATTTTTCATCGTTAAGAGTTTGCTTCTTGACCAGGGGCTCCAGTATTTATTTATTTATTTATTTATTTACTCGTTGGTTTTACTCTAAAATGTTGTAACCTAGAAACCTAGGTTTTGTGTGACCTAAGGGATGCTCCCAAGAAGTTTGTAAGATGGTGCATGGCAGTCATGGCAATGTGACACAATTTTGATTGCTGTACATTCTGGAGACAAACTCTGCAGAATGTGGAGCAAGAAATATGTCTACATAAAGTGTGGGGATTTTTAAAGATTCAGCTCCCCATGGCATTTTAATAGCTATATGTCCACTAAATTCATGATTAAAAAATATGTCTGTGTCTTCACATTCTTTCTGCTCCACTCTGTTCCTCTCCATTAGCCCAGTTTATTCCACATTCCTTTATATGTATCACATACCCCTGCCATGCATACACATCTGTGTGTGTGCACACACATACACACACATTTTCATCAAGATTTTTTTTTGAATAGAAGATTTATTGCCAGCCTCTTTTTGATTCTTTACCCTAGTGACCAGCTTTGGTTGCCAAGGAAACAAATATTCTCCCAGAGTGCCCCTCCCCAATCTTGAGCAGACAAAGCCCCTATTCCACCTCCCCACTATGCTGTCTGCCTCCCCCTTCCTCCTCTACCTGCACAGGGAGAGCCAATATTGCAGCCAAAAAAGAAAAGAAAAAAAATAGATTTACACAGGGCAACCAACTCTCATTGCTCCTCTTCCCCAGCCTCTATCCTCAGCATTCACCATAAGCACTAAACACAGAAATAGCTTTCCTCCTAGGCATTTGGCTACAGGGATCTGGAACATTTTCCTGGAACATACCTCAGCAAGAGTTTCCTTTTCTAAGGACTCTGTCTATGAAAAACACACAACCTTGAGGAGATGCTCTTGCTGACACAAGGCTGTGTCATCTATACTGCTACAAAACCAGTTCCTCTAAAACAGAAGACATTTTAAGATAAAATGTGGACTACAGAAGGTATGGATTGTTTCACCGGTGGTCACTCTAAGCAACGCGAATTATCAGTCAACATGCTGCTAACATTAACATTCTTGTAATATAATTTTCAGTATTAAGTATAGTGATGGTATCTGGATAGGATTAAAAATTTTGAAGCCCATGTGAGTTTTGATTAACATTAGCTGTAGTGATATGGATGCAATGGTATCCATGTAGTGGCATTGCATTAGTGAAATGAATATTACCTAAAACTCACTAATATCCACACTGATATAACGCATAGTTTTTAATAGTTCTGGATTTTAGTTCGCTATTATTTAATAAATAGCTTTCCGTGCTTTCCATAGAGAAAATAATACAATAAAGAAGCATGTTTTATTATTAGTAAAATAATTAAGGGACAGGGAGGAAGGGTTTGAGTAGGAAAATGGCCATAGATAAATGAATTAACTAGTCCATCAAAATACCTTTGCTGTTGAATTCTGCAATGTCTACAATTTAATTTTAGTTTAGTTTACTTTTAATTTTTTTTTAACCCAGGGTAAAGCTATACATTACAATTTACAATATCCTAGTTCATGTTTCCAGAGAAACTAACAAAAATTGTGTCAAAGCCATAGTAGTTGATTAAAGGAACAATTGGAAAATTGACAGTGAAAAACAAAGAATACCAAGATGTCTTAGGACAGGAGATGCCAGGCATTATCTTTTCCCTAAAAAGAAGGGGCACCACTTCTACAGCCTACTCTGTTCTACTCTACTGTATAATCAGGAGTGAAACAAGCACAATCCTGTGATGTTTTTCTTGTAATTCTCCCTGATTCAACTAGAGTCTTGACTGAGCATCTTCTTGGCCTTCCTTTGCCTCACTCTCCTATTCAACAAACAATCAAAACAATCAAATGGATTATACACATAACCTGCTACACTTTTCTAATTTGCATTTCTACATTGCCATATATTCTTTAGTAAGAATGAACTTATGGAAAGTTTTAGAAGAAATGAAATATCTTGAGGCTACTAAATAGAAAGCAGAATCCAACCTAATTCAGGAAAAACTACAGTGTGGAATTTAGGGGTCTGGTATCCTGCAGTTATTCAGAGCAGACAATTCTAGGAAAATTCCACTGGTCATCAAATGGTTTGATGGAGCTTTGGTTAAGAGACCTGAAAAGCACTTGGGGAAGATCATTACTGAATGAGTGAACCCATGAAGGTGGTGAAGATTGCAATCCAGATGATTAGCATGGAAAAAGGGATTTTTAAAAACATTCTTGATGGAGGGAATTAACACCAGGGTGAGAAATGCTATATGTACCAACAGGGAAAATAAGACCCTGTCTTATATGAAACCCACCACTGGATAAAAGTCCAAACAAGGCCATCTTTCAGGCTTTTGTGGACTACAGCTGACTTCCTAGCACAAGATGTTCTGAGCTTTACTCTTAGGTCCTCGAACTTTCTGCTGTAAGAAATCATGTATAGCAATAACAGGTGATTTTGTGCCTTCTAGAAGTTTTGGGTGACAACCTCAACAAGTCTTTGGCACTAGCCATCCTGCATAAAACCTATGTCAGTTAGTCTTAATCTGAACAGCACCCAGCTGCCTTTTCTTAGTGTTGGCTACTGTCTAAAGATGATGGGAATTGTGGTTACCTAGGCCGTGTTGCCTAGGTAACCACAGTGGGAAAGGCTGAGATAGGCTGTTCGGTCAATAGAAATAACTTATATTTTCTCTTTCCAAGTTTGAATTGAAACCTCTATCTTTCAGCATTTTAATCCCTTTTACTTAACAAGCATAAATTAATTAAGAGCCTTGGTACTACAGTGGTTTAAAGCACCCTGTTATTAACACAGCTGCCTGCAATTTACTGCTGGTTCGAATCTCTCCAAGGCTCAAGGTTGACTCAGCCTTCCATCCTTTCTAAGGTAGGTTAAATGAGGACCCAGTTTGTGGGGGCAATAAGCTGACTTTGTATAAAATATACAAAAGTATGAAGGCTATTGCTTAGCGCACTGTAAGCCGCCCTGAGTCTCCGGAGAAGGGCAGCATATAAATCAAATTAAAAAAAAAAAAATTACAAAAGTCATTTTGAGCAATAAAAACACCCTTGGAGAAAATGATTGCAATGATTCCAGATAGAATGTTGGCACTGGGATTTATCAAAAAACAAAGATAACAGCTTCCAATGATTACTAAGTGACTCCCTTTTGAGAGATCTGCCTTGGCTGATTTCCCCCCCAAATCAATACTTACCAGTATAGCCCTCTTGGCACTCACAAGTATATCCTCCTTCCCGGCTTTGGCAATGACCATTATTTCCACATGGATTGGAGTAGCAAAGATCAATCTCAGTTTCACAATAATCACCAGTAAAACCCAGTGGGCAACGGCAACGCAAACCATTGACAGGGTGGATAGGACGGAAAAGTATAGTGTCGGAGGAAATGAAGGGTGCTGAGCTGTCAAACTTCAACACTGAGACACAGCGCATATAATTCTCACAAGGTTCCCGCAAACAAATGTTATCATCAAAAGGCAAGACCCTCTGCTCCGTAATAGCAGCCAAGAGTGTCCGGTTGAGGTACAATCGTTCTTGGAGGTCTTCTGAAGGAATATAATGGCTGCCATGGACTCTATCAGGCAATTGTACTGACAGACTAACATTCAGGATTTGGGCAGCCTGAACATCCGTGTCATTCTGGATGTTGAAAAGGACAACATGATCACGGGGAGCGGATAGCACAGTTGCTACTCCTTCAAGAAAGAGAGCCAGCAGTGGTGAAAGGAAGCGTTCTTGGGACATGTTCTCCAGCCGCAAAGTGATACTGTTGGTCAGCATCTCATCTGTGATAATGGTCACCTGAAGCATGCATTGGGCAGCAACACTGTGGATCCCATCTATAGAAAACAGGAGAGAATAATTAGTTTCAATGTGCACTGAAGGGTGAAGAAGAGAATGTAGAGATCACCTTGTAATATTCATATTATTTTTGGGGCAACGATGTTTCTCTTTTATACAGCAAGCACATGGGTGAATGGGACTGACATCTACTTTAGTTTTAAAAAGGCAGGCTGTGCAAATGTACAGTATTGTGAGGCACAATGGAATGTGCACAATGGAAAGTATTTCACTGTTCTCTTTAATGTACAGTATAGTGTCTAAACCAAGATAGTATAGTTAATATGACACAGGGCAATCTGGATGAAGTCTATCCTCAACCATGGAAGCTCATTGTGGAACTCTGAGCTACTCACACTCTCTCAGTCCAACTCACTTCACAGGGTTGTTGTTGGGATAAGGGAATGCTACCTCCTTGAGCACTAGGACAAAAGGTGGGATATATAAATCTAATTAATAAATAATCTGTATTATCTGTATTATAGATATAGTACTATAATATAGATTAAGCTCTCTGAGTTCATCAAATATTTTATTCTACTTCTAATTACATGGATCACAGATTAGCAACGTGTCACCCTTTATCACTGACCATGGTGATTGGCACAGATGGGAGTTCAACAACTTCTACAATCCCATATGTCGTACATGCTTGATTTAGCTGATCATTTGAAACTAAAACTAACCCAAAACAATTTTCATCTATAGGTGGGGCATGCCTGAACTCTAGATGACCTATTAATCATTGACTGGGACTGTAATCATTCCCATCCTTATCCCCAAGTGTTGCTGTCTAGCTGTAGTTGTACTGATTGCCACTTTCATCCATTTTGGTGAAACTAAATGAGGTACTATCACATAGGCTTGCTCACATCCAGTTTGGATTAGTGTAATATACTCTTTGTCAAGCTCTCACACAGCTTAATAGGCAGAGTCTTTATAATTCCTCCTGTGCTATTTCTTTGTTATGCAGAGAATCAAGGCACATAGAAACAAATACTAATTAAAAGTTTTATTATTCTCTTTGTGAATGAAAAGCTATAGTTCATTCATACCAGTGTGTGCATACACACTTATGCATACATACCTACCCAACTCAAACTCTAGCTAGTTTAGAGTTCAAGATGGGATACCTATCATGGGCAATATTTTATTTATGTGATGGTCTAATGTTTCTGAGCTTGGAACTCTTACCATGCCTCCTTATCTATGCGGCATTGCCTCATCCAGTTCACTACATGTGGAAAACCATCTTTTGTTTCAAAACAATTCCCTCCTAAGTCTTCTTAAAGATCTGAACCCTGGCATTTGTCCAATGCAGAAGTAGTATTTTTCCAGAACAAATGCTTTGGTTCTGCCTCTAAGGCTTGCACTGAGTGGATCTCTTATACATTCCATCTTTCATATATAAACATTCATACCTTCAAATAAATGCATGGCATGAGAGATATATCTTTGTGTTGCTGCATATCAATATATGCAATCACAACACAGTAACATTGGAAACACTTTTAATCTACAGCATTCTTGTCCTCTACTTGTTATTCAGTTCATCATTTTATTGAATTTTAGCCATTCAATTTTCCAATTAAACTACTGATTCAGAAACACAAACAAGTTGAACATTTATAAAATGTTATTAGGTAGGTAATTCATTTTATCAAGTAATGACTAAGTAGCTTTCAATCTTTAACACTTGAAGCTGGAGTAGTTGCAAATGAGGATGTCTACTTAGAAATGGCAATGGTGAAAATCCATAGTTTCGTGAAGACAAGAGACAGAAGACAAGCTTATTGGTCAAATTGAAATTCCCTCACATTAAAGAAGATTTGAGGCATAATCATTTTTCATTCTTATGGCAGAAGCAGATTTTCTACAAAATACGGAGCTAACGTAACTGATATCTCCTCCTGCTGTCTTTCTTGTAACATATTTAAAACTTGTAATACATTTTAAAAAAGAACAAAATCAAGATGGCAGATTCTTAAAGCAAAAAGAACCAATTATACCACTTCACCCCTAGGTGTGGGTTTCTACCTGTACTGTTTCCTTATTTGCATTTGCAAGTTATTTCCATATTTTTTTAAAAAAAATCAAGATGCCTGCTCCATCCTAACCTGGTCCCTGTCAGGTGTTTATTTGACTGCTACAGCCCCAGCTAACAAAGCTGAAAGGATACAGTCCCTTCAAGGACTGTAATTCAATTATTTCCAGTTCAATTATCACCTCATTCTACTGCCTGTGTACAGACAAGGCATAGGCATGATGTGCAATGAGATTGCAACACTCTTCATGTTTCTTGATTAGCTGCTAGAAATGAAAGATAAGAAAACAGAGAAAGCAATGGCAGGATGTCACACGTTTTGTTGATTTGATATCAAGATAGAGACTTATATTCCTTGCAGTGTCACCTTATGGGATGTAACTTTTGTTTTGTAACTTTTGATTGAATGTCTAAAAATCTTTTTTTTAAAGTTCCAAGAAATATTGGCCACTAATGCACCCGAGGACTAACTTCACCTCATATTTTCATATAGTATGTACAAATGATTTTCCATATACCACAGTGAAGAGCTTGGTGGCACAGTAGTTAGAATGCAGTACTGCAGGCTACATCTGCTGATTGCTGGCTGCCAGTAGTTTGACAGTTCAATCCTCATTGGTTTAAGGTTGACTCAGCTTTCCATCCTTCCAAGGTCAGTAAAATGAGGGCCCAGTTTGTTGGGGGCAATATGCTGACTCTGTAAACTGCTTAGAGGGAGCTGTAAAGCGCTGTGAAGTGGTGTATAAGTCTAATGCTATTGCTATTGCAAATGTCTCAAATTGAAGGTCTGCATAAAGTTCCAAAACCCACCATGAATGCTTGTGTCTTTGAGATATTGTTGACTCCTGGCAATTGCCTAGACAAGTCCCTGCAATTTTCTTGGCAAGATTTCAGAAGTAGCTTGCCACTCTTTCTTTGTAGGACTTAAAGCTAGTGTAATAGTACTATGAGAGTGTACTGTTATTGTATGTGGAAATAATCTTGGGAGACAGAGAAAAGACCGACAGCCAGGGAAATGGTTGAACAACAGGCAGCTTAGATGCAGAAGGAATGTGGACAGCAAATGTCACAGGAGGGACCCTCCCTAGTTTCTTGGGCTATAAAGATAATGGGAGAGAAAAGGATTTCCAGACTTGCAAGATTAAAGTGAATTTACAATAAAATACACCTAATACTTCTGGGTATGCTTCTTATTTGGATACTTTATACTTTACAAGGCTGACCAAGAATGACAGGCCCAAAGCCACCCAGCTGGCTTCAAGTTGTAGGCAGAACTAGAATACGTGTTCTCACAGTTTCTATTCTGGTGCCTTAGCCATTACACAAAACTGGCTCTCAAGCCCACTGTATCCATTTCTTAAAAAAAGAAAAAAACCTTTGGGTCAGTTTTCACCAGTAAATACTCTCTCTGCTGTTACTTTGGGCTTTAGTGACCCATTCCTATTATCCTAGTGCCTTGTTATTAATGGGGCTCTTTTTGCTGAAGGATCTAAAAGAGCCTACCCAATGATCGTGATCAGAATTATTAACATAATTCCAGAGAATAGACCTTTCTGAGGTTTCAAGATCTAGTTTCCACCTTCATAGCCAAACTTGTCTTAACCTGTTCTGAAATTTTAATTTTTACACCAGTCTTGCACTTTGGTTTGATATAGTTCCAAAACCGTCTCGATAGTACAACCTTCTTCAGATTGTTCGTTTATCCTTATGGTTTCATTTGACAACACTAATCACTCCTCTAAGTGATGGACACCGTTTGAAAATGGTTTCAGTCCTGCCGATGGATGATCTGCCACCAGATAGGTAAAAGTCTATTAGAAGTTTTAATTTGATTACTTCTTAATTTATACCTTCTATTTGTTTTAAGATTTTAGGATTAAACTAATCCAGCAGGATATGAACAAAATACATACATACAAAGGAATGCACTAAGATCTAAAGAGATAATAAAGGATAATCACTACAACCTCTCCCTCCAAAGGAAAAAATATTTTTTAAATGGTAAAAATTCTCTTATTGTTGCCTATTTTGGACATGATGATATAACACTTTCCGACTATCATTTTGTCCCTCCCTGTTTCAACTGCTGTTAATAGGTAATTTACTTATTCTGGATGATATTCAGATTCATCTAGTATATCCAAACAGAAGTGTAAAAATGAAAAGCGCCGGGGGGGGGGAGTTTATATATTTACAAAAGTATCCAGAAATTATGACCAAATCAAATGAAAAGAGAAGCACTGAAAATGATGCTATAGTAAAAATTACAACAGGCTGTTCAGAGCAAACAAAAGCAGGAAGGAAGCTGGCCCTGGTTTCTGCCAGTAGTTTGGCTCAAGCAAAGGGAAAGAGGAGAAAGGAAACAAATGAGCTGCATGGTCAGGAAGCAGCAGTAGAAACTTATATCATCCTGTTGTTAGTCACAAGGGCAGATTGACACCTAGGGAAGATAGACAGGACATCAACAAACATGCAGGAATAATAGTTCCATAGGCAGACACACACAGAGGTTGGGGGCGGGGGGAGAGAGATACTGTTTGGCCAGGTCCAAAATGTTTCTGCAATATATGTGTGCAGTGCAATCTACACATGATTTGTGGCATTCACTTTTAAAATAATAAACACCTACAATTTACAATGTCTACAAAATGTCACCACAATATAAAAAAAGATGTTAAGACTCTAGAAAGAGTGCAGAGAAGAGCAACAAAGATGCTTAGGGGACTGAAGGCTAAAACATGAAGAACGGGTGCACGAATTGGGTATGTCTACTTTAATGAAAAGAAGAACCAGGGCTAACATGATAACAGTGTTCCAATATCCAAGGAGCTGCCAAAAAGAAGAGGAAGTCAACCTATTCTCCAAAGCACCTGAAGGTAGGATAAGAAGCAATGGACAGAAACTAATCAAGGAGAGAAGCAAACTAGAACTAAGGAGAAATTAATGAGTGGAACA